ACAGCTTCTCGGTTATCACAGCAGCCAGCTGGTACCTTAAAAAGCAAAACTGTATGTTAACACACTACAAACAGACCCAGCAATCCCGACGAAAAAGTGCATTTATTCCGATATCTCCGAAATTAGTTTATGTTGAATGGTTAGCCGAGGCGTTTATAAGTCTAACCCTGCCTGTTCGCTCGAAGAGGACCCAATCGGAAACATCAACTTTGATGGGGCATGTTATTCCATAGATGAAGAAGATCTCCGAGGCGACGTATGCATTGGTATGCAACTGTGATGGAACTGCACACCAGCGCAAAACTACCACACACAAGAAAGAGACACGACCGCTGGAACGAGAGATTTATTGGCCTGACGTTTCGGATTCTCACTCGAGTCCATCATCGGAGACAGAGTCAGATAAGGGTGGTGAATTGCCCAGGTGTTGCAGTATTTATATGCGGCGATGAGACTTTGTCGAAATGCTTTTAATAATTCTGTCCTCACAACTGCCGTGTTAATTTTGGGATTAAATAATATAATCAATACAAAAACCTCTCCATATTTTACTACGTGCTACAATTCCAAAACCATCGCCCTCCTCTATATTTGACATTTGGCAGTTCAGAAATATGTTACTATTTGACATTTTGCTAACCGTCGTTGATAACGCACTGTTTGTTAGGTGCTGACTTATGCGCCAAGTTAGATAGTATCTGAACATTAGGTCAGTATTCTTTGTTCACTTGTTTTGGCTACCAGCTTCCCAAAGTATCCCTGCCAGCACCAGCCCCGCCTAGCCCCGCCTGGCCCCCTCAATAATGGCGGGGCTAGAGGGGGCCATGAGGGGGCTAGGCGGGGCTGTGGAGGGGGCTGTGGCGCGGCATGCAACGCGATAGCCCCGCCTAGCCCCGCCAGCGAAAAAAATGCGCAGGGGACGCCACATCCCCGCCCACTTTTGGCACCACTTTAAAATATCGTCCTGTATAACGAGTCCCCTGAGGCGCAGTGGCTCACTGTTCCCACAGGTTACACGTCGGAACCCACCCTGCGTACGGTATTACATAGTACTCACAGTGACCCCGCCGTACACGTGCCCACTAATCGGCAGCCAATATCAAATACACGCGACGCAAATTCATGTGAATGAGTTATTTATTGTATAAAAGAAAAAGGAATTGGAAAATATGTACAATCATAATAAATGTCAGTGCCAGTATATACATGGACGTCAACATATGTTATGCCATTCAGTTGTGCGTTCCAAAAGTCCCCGCTTCGACGGCTGGTGCTTCAGTGATAGCCAGAGTAATTACGCTTCATAATTGCTTTGGACATTCAGTAAAAAACGATAAACAATTAGTATAAGTGGACTACGAACACCAAGGCTAAATACTACATACATAGACATACAACTCGACTACTTGAACTGGCTGGTAAGTAGATACCTAAACAATTAGCATAATATACATAAATGAACTAAGACAGCTATCAAGAGCATGAAAACAGCATTGGCTGACTCACGATATTATCTGCAATCGATTGTCAAATATACGAATAAATAACACACACAGATTCTAATCCGATGGACAAATGAGAGTTTACGCAATGAGGGACTTAAACAAAACCTCAGTATATTGTGCTCATCCGCAGCTACATTCAGTGGGCGTTAACGGATGCTTTCTCCATGATTAATGAGCCAATTTTGATAAATTAGCTCCTTTTAATGCCAAAGAAGGTACAAGGAGTGGTGCTTTTGAAACATATGTTTCGATGCAAATACGCTTCAAAATGCTTCAATCCAGAGGGGGCTCTGGCCCCACCCAGCCCCTTCCAGCCCCGCCTATGAAGGAGCCATGTGCTGGCAGAGGGGGCTCTGGCCCCACCCAGCCCCTTCCAGCCCCGCCTATGAAGGGGCCATGTGCTGGCAGGGATGGTACCCTAGTCTCCATGGTGTACTGTCCATATTGCGACATGAGGAAGAAGTCTGGACAAAATGATTTCGAAATGGTCAAAACGAGGGCGCGCTGTTAAGTTATCCAGAAACAGGAAAATATGTCTCGTCTTCAGTGGTAGTTCCTTGTCACACTTCAGTAAGAATCTTAAAAAACACCATAATTTGTCCACGGCTTTTCAATAGGACGATGTGGTGAAGATAACCTGCACACTGTAGGTCTTTTCAATCATCTGGGATTAAAATACGGGGTAGTAAACAACAATTTACGTTCAGCATTTCAGGATATGTTTGAGACAGTCGAGCGACTCAGTGTTTTTTTTAACTCAACATTTTGAATATTTTAGTCCAAAGTCTCTCCGAAACGGCTCAGCAAATCAGTTCTGTCTCAGTAGTATTCAAATGAATGCTGCATAAGATTTGCCAAACGTCTGGGAAATAAAAGTAGTTTTCAGTTTTAAGCGTTTGCATTCTTAGCACCACACGTACCGCTGTTCCCTCTTTTGCGTTTCGCATTCTTTCAAGATTTTCATCGCAACGAGTCACGTGTTCCGTCGAAGTTCACGTAGTAAAGCTTTGGCCGAATCTTCTTAGTTTTAAAAAGTAATCAACTGGCACGCACCGTTCGTCCAGTTACTGACTGACGACTTACCCAGAGTCTCAACTGTCCCACACTCGCTTCCGTTTTAGGTATTTTTAATGGTGGCTTTAAGACAGTGCAGATTTCTCTCGCACTTTACGCTGTTCTCCTAAAATGCATATGATTGTAGATTTTGATACGCCTGTGGTCTCCGTCAAATGGCGATGATAAGTGTCGGACTGTTGGTCTTGTATTTGCTGCTGTGAGGAAATTTTTTCTGATGAGACTGAATGCTTTCTACACATTTTAGATGTCAACCAGCAAGAGGCGTGTGAACGAAGGCAGACAAACCTACAGTGAGTGACCGATCTCATGAAATGTTGGCTGACATTCTGAACTGCGTCTTCGATTAGGAAGGATTACTTGGGCGCGGTTGTAGTACTTATTAACCTGCGGCATAATCTTATGACATTTCGGACTCGATACAATGTCAGCTTTTGAATACACTGCTTTTCAATCTCCTGTGGAGACCGTACTCGGTAAAGAAAAATGACTACTTAAGTACCATGCATTTTCCCATTGATTTTCCATGGTCTTGCAAATTCAAATATACCTTATAGGAACTATAAACAAAAATATGGTTTCTTTATGCTAATTAATAGAGAATCACGTCTTCTTTATATTTTGTATTCAAGGAAGAAGTATAATTATGTTATAAAAAGTTTCTTATTAGGAAATTTTGTAAGACCGCGCAATGTTCATTCACATAGCATCGTACCTGGCCGTTTACCACAGCTCCTCATGAAATACAAGATAGAGTCCGCATCCATTGCAAAAATTTCATGATCTCTGTATGATATCTTTTTAATGAATTAGAAAAATATGTGATTTTCCTTGCGCGGAACGCATGCACCTTGTAGACTGAAATCACTAAGCGCTAGTACGACGAGTGATCAAGCTCCAAATTATTCGGAAATTAAACAACTTTTTAAAACATAATTATACTCCTTCCTTGAATACGAAATATAAATAAGACGTGATTCTCTATTAATTAGCTGAACGAAACCATATTTTTGTTTATAGTTCCTATAAGGTATATTTGAATTTGCAAGACCATGGAAAATCAATGGGAAAATACATGGTACTTAAGTAGTCATTTTTCTTTACCGAGTACGGTCTCCACAGGAGATTGAAAAGCAGTATATTCAAAAGCTGACATTGTATCGAGTCCGAAATGTTATAAGATTATGCCGCAGGTTAATAACTATTACAACCGCACCCAAGTAATCCTTCCTAATCGAAAACTCATTTCAGAATTTCAGCCAACACTTCATGAGATCGGTCACTCACTGTAAGTTCTCTTGAAGGCCAAATAGCAGATCTGCTCCAAGACACAAAAAGTAAAGGTGTATGAGTCGACGGTTGATCATTGGGCACCCGACCATCTGCGGTTCTCTCACATCAAAATGCCCACTGCTGCACAATCTAAATTTTTTTCACAACTAGAGCTAATGTGCCCACTTGAAGGGTCTCGTTCTCTCAAGTTCTACCGTCTGAGTACTAAACGAAACTTTTACGCGCCTTTGGAACAAGTAGACAAAGAAACCTGGTGAACAATTCACCCAACAACGGGTTTTGGTATGCGTCGACAACATAGGTCATCTTTTCAATTTTTCTTGTCTGGCTTCTTGTTTACGGACAAAGCAGCTGCATTAACTAAGAAAATATTTTCCCTCAGAAACATCTGTTTCGAGTAACCGACTCTTCCAGTTCCATCAGGGTCAAATTAACCTGACTCTCGTGTGCTGGAACGATTCACCGTCTGGCTCCGAATCAAGGCGTGTCGTTAGATGCAGCTGATAATTTCGAAAGGGCCTAAGGACTAGAAATTAGATCAAGTACTACCAGTCTAGGAAACCTAACTTTAGGAGCGGATTGCCGGAGACTTAAATAACGTCCAATATATTACTATGATTTGGCAGGTGAAAAACCTCATGTCTTCTTGAGGTACAGTACGCATATGTCATTTCGCAAGGCACGCGTGCTAAAAGATCACATAGACAACACTTATCCTGCAAATCCATAGAATCCTTCGACTGTGCGCTGTAGAGATCACCACCAAAACATTAAACTCAGGACGACGTGAATGACAGCGTATATTCACCACGTGAGAAAAGTTATTTAATGGTTCTAAAACGCAAAGTCCTGAGAAGTCTCCTTCCCACTTGGAAGTGGTTTCCATGCAACGACCGGCCATCCTCTTTTTAGCCTCATAACCAGCAATGACGCTGATTGGATAAAGTAATATGGGAACATGGCCAATAAGCTTTCCTGTAGAAAAACTAATGCAAGTTTTTAAAACATAAGTAAATGTAAGAACACAAACTTGAGTGACGGTACAAGTCCGTTTCGAAGTTATGGCGGACATGAACAAAGCTTTGACCCTTCTCGGAGGAATTATGAATTTTATCGCGCTGGGGTACTATGGCACAGTTGGTGAGTATTTATATTCGAGCTAACAATATGGTTTTAGATCGGTTCGCCCCGGCTATCCTTGCCTACTTTTCCGAGCATGACGAAGAGGTAAAGTGGAGGCACCATTTACAGATACTGATGACGCTTTCGATTACAAGTGCTGCTATGAAGTGCGTAGGAGGTTTGCTGGGGACGAAAATTGACTTCAAAATTCCTTTACTCTTTTCGACACTTTTTACAAGGTAGGATTACGCTGTCCATTTTTTCAGTGAAGACCCCATTGGTATATTTGATTCTTTCACTGGTTTCCTAGTAAAAAGGCATCTAAGGAAGCGGTCAATAATTTACCACAACTCAAAAGATGATGACCAAATCTGAAAACAGTGTCAGATGATTGAATGTCCCTAATGATCAGTAAAAAGAAATATTTAAGATGTTTTATTGACTGAGCGCTAATATATTCTGCCCAGTAAGATCAGACCTTTACTGAAAACAGTCATTAGCATTTCTAACAGACAATAAATGTTCATCCAGTCAAACGACACTCTAGATAATTTTTAGGAGAGCAAATGCCTCTTCCACTTCAGCATGTGCATAATTCAAACGGGAACGTTTGAAATGAAATAGAGAAATATATAAGCCAAACTCGTTAATAATCACATAAAATGTTCAGGTAACGAGACAATCTGCATGTTTGAATTCAATCAGCTGGGTCATACATTGCGACACTTGGCTGCCACATTTCAGAAACTTGATTGTTCGCAGAAGAAAAAACGCTCACGGGGTCTGCCAAGGGTAGATTTTGAAACAGTGATTTATATCTAGGAGGCAAAAGTTCAGCTTTGCGCTTTCGGTTTTCTAGTTACTACAGAAAAGTGAAAGCAAACCCTCTTGCACAGTTAAGCAACCGGTGCGAGTCCGTACTCCAGGTAGCCAACGAGATGCCGATGATAGTGCCGACCGCATCGCCAACTGACCGGGGGCGTGTAAAGCAGGGTTTAATGATGCACCATCGAGTGCAGGATAAGCGCAATAGTTATGGATTCTGTCGATGATTTGGTCTTCACTAAGTGGTCTAGGCCAAATTCTACCGTTCCGGTCATGCATGTACGCCACTCGTTCGCACACCGCCAAGGTGCTAAAGGCAACGCTAGTTGGCTAATTTTTCCTGGCGGACCTTGATACGAAACTAAACAGCATAAGTATTCAGCTATAGCTGGCGAAGTTTATAAAAGTGTCAAAATCAACCATCACAAGCCTTGCATACGACGAAATAGGAGTGAATGGCACAGCTTGAGGAGAAACAGCCGAGAGAAAGAAGGGAGAGGACAAACAACGATACACTGATAAAGTCGATAGTCGGTTATTCTTTATGTTAACTTTAGATAATTTGGTCAGAGAATTAATCAGTCCAAAACATTCTGATCCGCGATTGACTGATTAACCGGAGTCTGCCGTTTTTGTAATGCTAGTTTAATCAGACCTAGATTTTGCAGCTCCCTAAAACGGTGTCACCTGTATCATGCAGTCGACGGACACATCCCCAGAAAATGCGGTGCAGTTGAATTTCTAGCCCTGAATCCCAAAAAAGGCCCAGAGTACTACCCGACCCAAACTTAGCTCTGCCTGCTGACATTGTAAAATTGCTACCACGCAGATGACACAAAAGTGCAGGAATAAGAAAAGACGATTTCGCAAATGAGACCCACGTCATATCGACCGAGCGCATGATCAAGCTATATGAGGCGGCAGGTTTTACCACCTCGTTGGCAGGTGTCCCTGATTGAGTGAGGATTTCCGCATTAGAAAAGTCCGCAGATGAAAGCCACGATGTTCTGCGGAAACAACCGTTCTCACAAATCTCAGCGGTCAATCAGATGAAACTTCTTCCGCTGCACCTCACGGCAAGATCACGGAGTATAGTCGGTCAGTGACACAAATGACCTGATTCTCTCGCCTTCTAGAATAAGTAAGGTACATTTACCCTGCCTAAAATCGTAGAGGACTTTGTTTTTCCAGGCGTTAAATTATAGATCACATTTGTTGGAGCCAACAACCACTCGTAAAGGACAAGTTGCGTTTACCAAAGGCATTTTCAGACAGGGGGATGTAATCGGAGAGGATAAGTTTTAATCCTACCTCGATCCTCGTGCGTGTAGAGTACTGTTGCTGGAATCCAATCTGCAAAATAGTTAGAAAGCAGTTTGAGGGTTTAGGGTTAGATGCTAGGCTGGGGCTTATCTGCTGCAGGTACGGCTACGAAATAGGGTTCGACCAGCACAACTATTGGAACGTGCCAAAGTCAGTTTTAGATATGAAGCAGTGATCTCGGCTTTAATTGATCAACAATGCTGTGAATACTAAAAAACAGGCGTCTACACCCGGCGAAAAATATTCCTGGGATATATCACCTCCTGCGGCCCTATTTTCACTGCCCCGTTTGGCAGACATTTACAATGAAAAGCTGCTCAACGTTCTCATTGCTAAAGGGAATCAAAGTCCAAAGAGGTGTAACGGGAAATGGTAGAACAAAACAGTCAATGAGAAAAATCACAAAGATTTCCAGGTCGAACACGGAAATATGGATCTTCAGTACTAAAGACAATGCCTTACAACTACCTGACCATAACCCATAACCCTCCTAGCTCTCACCGTAACTGTAATTTCCACTGGAATCTGGGGCGAGACCACCCGTAATATGACATCGTAGTCCATATTCTCGTGCCTAGCCTGAATTCATTCAAACCAGAATATTTGACTGCGAATGAAATGATAAGTCAGGCTTGTCCTGAGCACGGTTTCTACGATTGCTCAATATCTTAACCAGTAAAATTTAGAAAAAGAAATGACAACAGGAAATCCCTTCGTTTCATTGTCTTTAAATCTCAGCAATGTACCGGAGCGTAGTTAAAGTGGCGCTTTTCCGACCAAAAATATTGCTCACTTTACCAATGTGCCACAAGTTAGAACAGACATAGTTTAAAGTTGATTAGGAAACAGCATCTAAGGTCATGTACGTATAAATACTTAAGCTTGGTGCACTGCGCTTACGCTTTTTGACCGAAATATCTTTTAGCTCATTGGCACCTGACTCTAGATAGGAAAGGGTAAAGGTCTAGAGTGCTGCTTTAGACGGGATATATGGGGCATCCAAGCAAGACGTGAGTCCTGTAGGAGTGACAGGACGCACTGCAGGCCCTAGTGTACATCACATTTGCTCCGTCAGGCCTTCAGCTGGCACCCGGTTCTAATCTGTAGCTGCATGAAGCTGTGCTCCGCGCGGCGACCATATGCTGTCAACTGTTTTGACCGACGGGGTAAGCCAGGTGAGCGGTAATCGTATCATTGCATACATGGATGACAGTGAGACCATCGCGAATGATGATATCCAACAAGTGCACCACGGCAGGATGGGCTTAGGGACGATGACTTGCACATGAATTAATTTACGTTGATAGTAGAGTTGCGGGGCATCCACTACATTCTCGCCTCCCTCACCCATCAGAGCCTGGCGACAAGACAGAGTCAAGGAGACCGAAGACCATCACAGCCTGATTCTACGAAGTGAGAGGACCGAGTCATATATTCAGTTTCAGTCTTCTAAATCAAGATTTCCACGCCTCGAAGTAGTTTAGAAATTCTTCGGACCGTTTGGATGGAAATACCTTCGTGACAGAGAAATCACCGATGCTGAAACGTGGGAGTGAACATTTCATGTGCGTCCTATATCGTGCATCTGTAATGTGCGAGTATAATATCGACAGACAATCTCATATTGAGTCCAACGATGACCTCGGGCGCCTGCCATCATGCAGCAAATGATCAAAGCGGTGCAAAAGGGTGTCAACGACAATCTCTGACTGTTGGCTCAATTTCAGTCGTAATCTATAAATAGGATGGTTCGCAACAAAAGAACAATCTTATCTCAGTGCTACAGGGGGTGTTGTGACGGGGACGGGGATGTAACTATAGTTCATTTAAACAATAACTAATGAGCCCAGTTCCTCTGCAACAATGATCAGGGATCTACTTTTTCGATAATACTCACAAACTCTTCTCTCGAATACTAATCCCTCACCTGAGCTTACTCGCGGGAGGAAGGCGTCTTTTCGAGAGTCAGTGCTACTTTCGAAAAAAGTGGTGCAATGGCAGGGCGAAGGACCCCAGTTTGCTGTCGTAGACCGCGGAGCGCGTGGTATATGTACTTCAGAAATCTAGTTAGATACTGATAGCTGGCAGTTGTACCCAAGAGCGCAGAAACAAAAAAACGGGAATCAACTGAGCATGAACTGAGGGATAACAGAAATTTCGGTCAGGGGATAAGATCAGTTGCTCGATAGCCTGCAATCTTTCAAGATAGAATGCCATGGAATATCAAGCTGGACATCGTTTCTGCATGTATTCATCATTTTACTCGAAAGAATCTTTTTAGCCACCAACTGTCTTCCGTGTTGTCTTGCATTCCGCAAGCCTACTGCCAAACGTGCTGCCCACCCGCAAAGTCCCCATAACCACTCTTACCGTGTGACACGATCCACAATCTGCCGGAAATCTAATTGGGGTCCTTCGCTCTACTGTTGGGAGTGCCTACACTCACAGAAACAAGAGCCAGCCAATCACTAGAGGCCGCGCGCGTTTTCCTCTAGCGCGCTGTCAGCATGATCGTCGCGCCTCGCCATTGGCCGCTCCCCTCGAGGCTGCTCGATCCGTGTGTGATAAAAGTGCAGTGCTCACCGGATCAAGGGAATTTTACTGCTGATGTTTCGGAAAGCTTGGCCAGCTTTCCATAGTTAAAGCGTTTGATGAAAAAATCGACCAGAATTTTGAATAAACGGCCGAATTAATTGGATTTTTTCGTTTCCTTGTCCCTCTGACCATCGTTTGTGATTGTTGGTGGTCTCCTGTGTTGTGTACCGTCACCGCAAATGGGGTTAGTTGCGTTTATGTCTCTCCTTTTGAGTGAAGTATTCGACGGGCCGCGTTTGCTCGGTATTATTAAGTTCCGCGTGACCGTCTTTCCTGGCGATGGCGTATGTAATGACGTAGGACCTTATAGGCCGTAGAAAGGTCTAAATGCCTGTTGATGGAGTTGGCCTCTGAGCACCAAGCCTCAAGTGTGAGACGTTCTGTTCTTGAGGTGCCCCGGCCTAAGACGGCTGCTCTATGAAAGTCAAAACTGTGGCCAGTTTCACCGATGTGAGTTGCAAGCTGTGAGTTTGGGTCTGGTCTCCGAGTTGCCATTTTGTGCTCATGTAGGCGGGTCTGCAATTTCTATCAGATTTCCCCAACTAGTTGCAGTCTCCATCGTTACAACGTATTTGATAGACAACTGCTGAGGTTTCAGTGGGTGGCAATATGCCTTTGAGTTTCATCAAACGGCGACGAATTGTTATCTGGTGTCGATCGTCAGCGCCAACCCTGGCGGGTTGTAACAGTCGGGAAATCACCTCCGGGACTCCTTTACTGTAAAGAATGGCCCTCCAGGCTTCGGGTTGTTCTTTTTGTGACCGTTATCTGTTCACTCGGCGCTTTATTTGCTTGATAAAATAGCTTGGGTATTCATTGGCCCAAAAGAGGTCGTTCACCTCTTTTGTCTGCTGGTGTGCTGCAGTGTGTTTCAACTCTTTGGCATTGAGTACGGACACAGCTGCGTTTGTGCGAGAGAGGGTGATTGATGTTGAAGTGCAGTATTTGCCCTATTTTGGTAGTTTTCCTGAAAACAATAGTTTGCGATTGCCCTGGATCCGGTGAGCACTTCATTTTTCTCAGATTATCAACCCAGATCTCTTACGTTTGCTGACCTGTGATCGAGCCGTGTATGCGATTAATCGATCAGCTCGTCTAGAATCTTCTTATCGAAGTGTATTGGGTCGAGTGCAGGCGAGCTCCTGTAGGATGTTATAAATACGCGTGACTTTTCCCGTTAAACTTGACTTGCGGTTTCCTAATACACTTTTTCGTGGCCGGCCGTGTTCTCCGTCTCTGCGGCGTTGGTATTAAGGACAAGAGTCGAGTGCGCAAACGCTCCGCGTGATTTCAAGTACCAGGCAGGGTCATAACAACTTGGCGCCGCAGTTTTCCACTACAGTGGTTGACGGGTATGCCGTTTTGAAGCAGATACTGCAGCAGCAGCTGAAGCTCATGGAGGCTCTGACCTTCAAGCTATCCAATTAATCTATGGGCTAATCAAGTGCGGCTGGTGGTTCGCAATCCGTCGATCACATTGCCGGCAGCATCACTGAATTCTTATATGACCTGCAGGCCCATATCACTTTTGATTCCTGGGACAACCGATTCGAGGACTTGTCCTCTGTCGATCTGGATGCCCAGAACAATACATGGAAGGTAAGACTCCTACTCCGCAATCTGGGTCTGGCTGAACACGAGCGTTATGCTAACTTCGTCCTCCCTAAGAAACCCGAGAGGTCACTTTCACGGACACGGTGCAGACTTTGTCGCATATTTTCTGGCGAGTAGTCATCCCTGTTCAACATACAATTTCAGTGCCTACAACTGTGCAAACGATATTCCGATGATTTTATCACGTATGCGGACATTTCCAATCGTGAGTGTTGGCGTTTTCAGCTCGGTTCTCTCACTGAAAACCAGTTTAAATGCCTCATATCTATCTGCGGCCTCCAGTCCCCCAAGGATGCTGATATCCGGTCGAAGGAAATGAGTTATCACAACGAAGACTTTAGACGAATATGCTCTTTACCGAACAAAACATATTTACCAGAAAGTTTTCCTACACGAAGATTTTTCTTAGTGCTTTTCTCGGATGATTAAGAATGTCATCAATCGTGCTGCACAATACGTTTAAAGAACAAATTGAAAAGTTTCCCCTTCCGCACATTTACCTGACTGGTAGTGACAAATGTTATTTGACATATAAGAAACTCTTTCGCCTGCCTACTGTAGGGCAGCTTTTGTCATAGTCCGTTAGGTTAAGGTCGTATTCGTTATTTTAAATGCAGTACAGAGTGGAATTATGCGTGTTAAGATATTTGCCAATCTCTGAATTGCGTATAAGTGGATAGTGAACTACACAAAGGCAGTCTTAGCATGCACATCCCATATACGTGCCGGCCATTTAAAAATGTTTCCTGAAACTACCTGTCTATGCCAGCGCAGAAAAACAAAGAATTGTCTCCTCGTGACTTTACCGTGTTTCTGCGCAACATCATACAGATTAAAAATTAGTAATCTTCGAAATTAGAAGCATCCTTGCTTACTTTAAAAGGATGCTATTGTCCACAGCCTGTTTAATCTGGTATGCGTGGACGAAAAGATTCTTTTAAATACGCGAAATAAGTCGTTCTACCACGGATAAATGATAGTCGACGGAATAAAACGCGCAAACAGACTAACAAGTACCTACTGTCACTTGAACGAGCCATCCTCTTAGGTAAGGGAATAAATAGATAGTCCGCTTGAGGAAATCTGATGGTAGTCTTGTTACCGACAGCCAATCATGGCCACGCCTGGCGACCTTCTTCAGGACCCCATTATGTCAAGGTCGTTTGTTTCGCTGCGAGCTGTTACGGACATGCTAACCTAAGCCACCCGGCCGACTTCAACTCGGACACACCCGAGTCCACAGGGTCGCAGCTGCCCATGCTCCGATTTATCACGCCAGCCCCCGCGAACACAACATAAGCCCCTTGAACACTACATTTCTGCCACTAAAACGCACACCAGTCGGAAACCACTTGCGCTTGGCCCACAAACCTACAAAAGCCGCTGCTATCACTGTCTCACGAACTCTCACGAATGACTGGGTGCCGTCAGCACTAGCTCTTTCCTCTCCAGAGGCCAAAACCGTCTGAGAGAACAACACAGGTTTCTGCAAACAATGAACCCCTTAATTTGGTGATTTGCATCTTTTACCACAACACGAGATTTGGTTTGATGATTGTAACATTCCGAGTATACTCTCGCTGCTTAGCCGTTACGGTCAAAAACTGTCTACAACGCCCAGGATAATCCTTCGACTATTTTGATGTCAGTTGGTCTCTAAAACGGACCAGACGGTAGATGCGCTCGGCCGACACAAGGACTAGATCGGAGTCTGACAGGTGTTACTGAGAATGCGCATCCATAGCAAATGCCAACATTCGGGATGCGCTGGCACGTCCAGTTGCAGACCCTTGTCGCGCCAATCTGGATCGGAACCGCCCCACCTTTTCTTGGTATGCAAAATTTTCGTCAGTGTGTTGTGGACCAGGGGGTGTGATGGTACGCCAACGTGCGGGTTTACGCCATGCCAGCCACCTGCGCCCCCTCACACCTCCAGTCTTCTTGAATATGTTTTGATACCGGGACCAGGTGGGGAAGGAGGAGAGAATGCGGTTGATGCTGCGCGGGTCTACTTTCATTATAAACTAACTCACGCGCAGGTCATTGTCTCTGCTCTCACCCTGCCGTGCAGTACACAGTAGACATCGTCGACAACAACGAACTGTCGGAGGTCACTGATCGCGTTTTCCCAGTTGTACAATGTATGATATGTTGATGGTTATGGTTATCATGTTTTTAAAAATTTCCTAATACCCAAATAAATAGTCCGGTTAAAAAAACGAAGTCGTTACCAGAAAAAGTGTGCAAGGTTAGCTTTGTTATTTATGCAATTTAGTTGATGGTATTTCTTCATTTTGCACTCACTGGACCATGTATTCTGGATGATTTCCTGCCCGTCACCATGCTGACCAAAAAAAGCTAATTTTGCTGTTTCATCAGTGTCCTGATGAATAGTCTTACACAATCTCTTTGCGGGCCTGAAGGCGAGAATTTGTGGAACAACGTAAACTTCTCTCAAAAGTCCGCGATTTGCATTCCAAGTTTCTGATTCTGCACCCTTTCGGTAACTTTCATTATAGCCTTGGAATCGTCCTCTCGCATCTGTCTGTGAAGGGGACTCCAATCTTCTTCGTTATTACACATGGAGTCATTTGCGGAATAGGTATTGGCCTAAGCTATACTGTCACCATATGGGTCATCCTCAAGGTAAGCTCAGTCTGCTTGCATTGAATAACCTGAACGTTTGACAGTGGTACCAGAGTAACCCCCACTTGGCTACTGGAGCCCTACTATGTGGTACTGGACTCGGATCCATTTTGTTTTCACAAATTCAGAACAACATCGTGAAGCCAATGCAATGTTTAAAAGACTCAGGGTTAGTGCACACAGGTTTCACATTGTAATACCGATGTTTCATTGCATATTTGAACACGAAAATTCTGAGCCGCCTACACTGGAAAATGTAATACTTACTTAACCAGTCGTCATCAGATGTAGTTAAAGCAAACCTGACGAGGCTGAGTTATGTAAGTAACGTTTACTTTAATTTAGCCTTAGAGAGCGGTTCAACTTAAGACTATTTAAATCAATCCAGAAATTAAAGTAAAGCATAAACTAACTGATAGCTATCAACCGAATCGCCAGCAAACGTTACATGTAACTTATTGTCAGATTTTTAGATTCATTATTATTTTCGGAAGAAGACGTCTACTGCTTATTCCCTGAACAAGGCAAATCGCGATAGGATATAAGTTTTCACCATACAAACTATCGCTACCTTAATTGTAGCACACTTTCTGAATGTCCAACAATTCTCAAAGTTCCTTCCGTCTTCGTGATCATCGGTTCAATTGGATTTACGATTCAACTTTTGGGGATCTCACTGATGAGAAGAAAAAAGGTAAGCTGGATTAGATCGAAATGGAGGAGTTGGTGGTTTTTTCATTATTTCATAAAAAGAGGTTTAGTTGGCATTCCATAACTTGTTAAAAGCAAAACTTAGTTCCCTAAAAATTTGAGCTGACGAGGTGAATCACTTCTAAAGAAATGTTTAATACGCAAAAAACGAAGGACCTACTTTACGATATTTGTAAAAGTATAGCTCAATATCTGCGTTTGCAGCGGGTGCGATAGTGGCGTGTCCCGTGTCCGCAGTCAGTCAGCAGTGCCGCAGTGCGCGGATTGCTATCATGCAGGGAAATCGGAGCAGACTGAAAGTGCGAAACGCCTCAGTAGTTTCTCTACGATAATCGCGTCGTAACGGACTTACCGGGCTGGCTTTAAACGGACGAATTTTCTTAAAAAACTCATTTCTATCCTTTAAATTTTGGTTAACCGGTCGACAGAAACAAAATAGTAGAGATTTCGCGTATGAGTTAGTTTAGCGGGCGAGAAGGTCTACAAAAGATCATAGCTGAATTCGTTGCGAATATTTGGTATGGGGTTGGAGAAAACTTGAAAATGACCACGAGGCTCTTCAGATAGTGAACCCATGTTTAAATGAAATATCTTTATTGACACGGGAATACGGAATCCTCAGTACTATAAGTGGCCTGATGCTACATTCCAGGGGCTTCCTATCTCCATTTCCTAAAGTTAGCCCTAACTGTGACCCTGGTACCTACACTAACCATAATCCTCCAAACCCGAACTCAATAGATAACGCCAGAGTTCATATCCTAGCACCCCCAACCAAAACCCTAGCAATACGCTTAACTCGAACGTTCTTTTGACTTTTGGGACACGGCAACCTGCGATATGGGAGGTCCATATTCTCTTGCCAACCGTATTTTCTGTCAATATTTACGCGAGAGTCCCCGGGGCGTAAGGGAAGGTTTCGCAAGGACCTTGTTGGCAGACCTTTGACGTAGCCATTAACTCATGGGGCGGAAGGTATGCGTTTGCGAGGGCGAATCTTAGGTTATTGACGTTCATCGGGGAAGTATGCAGAAACATTGCTAGCATGAAATAAAGTAATTAATTTTATTTTGTGCCATCTTGAAATAGGTTCTTGTACTCCTGAAAACAATAGCCGCATATGCGAGAGTAACATGCAAGTAATGTTAATGCAAGTATCTCTGTGGCATCGCACTTCGACTTAAAAGTCCCATTTTATTTCTAGCTGGATCAAGGAATCTTGAGATACACATGAAACTATGTCTCTGCAGACATTTTGATCTCTGAAGGCAGTGACATTCTTACATAAACACATTAACCAGTAATCAGGTAGGAGTAAGTCGCACAGGTCATTGCCGTTTTTAGCAGAAAAGATAAGACTATAATTCTTAGGCGCCACTCTGCGTGGAGTCAAATGATGACTTACCCAACAGAAGAAAACGCGTAAAATGCACTCTTTGTTATACAAGATATTTGTGAATATTCTTTTGCTTATTTTCCGTACTAACAACAAAGGCTGAAAGGCATTCTTGAATGGAGGCGCATATGTGAATCCCAGATTCTTCGTAAAGATACTTGAGATCGCTTCAGTCCACGTATATATTTGGCAAAAAAATTAGTTGGTTTCAGCTTCCGTCTAAATAGAAAAACATATGTAGGAAGTGAGGGGCAGGAACATAGTAGTGACCCTTCTTTTATTTGCGATTGGCGTCCAGCAAAGTCATAGAATTGCGGCCCGAAGTTATGTAACATCCTAACGTTTGTATGTTTTTGAGGGCCCGACTTCCAGTCACAGTTCACGTCTAGGCAAACGCGACGACAGAAAAGTGACAATTTAATGACATTTTTGTGGCCAGGTTTAAGAGGACAAAACAGGTCCGCCAAAACTCCCAGAACAATTGTGAAGAATACTTGGTAATAAACGAACTTCGAAATCCCAGCCCTACTTTCACCAGGTTGGGCTTTCAAATTATCAAATTAGTTGTTAAGTAAGAGGCAAATTTTATAGGTTTATTGACTGCACTTTCAAATTAAAGGTCCGATAAACGCACCGTTTTACTTTTCGCGATTATTCCCTGGCCCTTATTAAATGCAAGCGCAGAAAATGCCCCTCCCATCAATGTCATTTTGACATACTTTTGTCTCAAACTATTGCTATACGCGATAAAAGTTTAAAAATGTAAAGGTCAAGAGCTCTTATTCTGAAAGTCATTCATATGCTTCAAATAATTCAAGTTCCTCCTTAGGAAGAATTCAGTGCTGTGGAACTGGACTCAACGGAAGAGGGATATGTGTACGTAAATATTTTTAGTTAAATTGAATTGAATTTAGTTAAATTGAGTGCGAACAAAATTAAAAAAGGAAGAACGATAAAATGAAATAAAATTCCTCAGAATACGTGCGCACAGTAACTTTGGCCACCATCTAGGCAATTACACATCACATTTCCATAATAAAGAAAGTCCAATTTTTTGGAGGTCTGCGTCAAACCTGCTTAATTGTTAGATTACCAAAATTAGTTCGCGCGCTTGCTTTTCAAAAACATCGTATTGGATTCACGTAATCTTCGTCGTGTTTTGCATATGCCTTTTAAAACCCGTTAGAAATTTGCGCCTTCTTATGTATGTGGTTTAGAAGAACGTTTATAAATGAAATTCAGATGAAGTACGGGCGACATCTAATGCACATCGTACGGCACGTGATACGGTGATGGAGAGACAACACAGAATTCCCACTGAGATGAAATCACATTCCATTGTCAACAGACAACGGAAATGTCTTCGGTCGATTAACATCTGGGAAAACAAACTGTCTATGACTGTTCCTTCATGCAGTTAAAAGTGAACGAATGATATCCCTAGATGTAAGCCCGTATCAATCGATTCCTCTACTAGAGTCTATAGCAGCTGTTAGAAAATTGTCACTATAATACGTGGAACACTCTTCAACCATTTATTTAGAAAGTTGCACTCTAAACCGAAAGTAAATTTTAAATCCAATGCCTTTTTTCCATCCAATTCTATTTAACAGCAGCAGTAAATACAAAAATAGATTAATACGCACAGTGGCCTTTCGTTTGTTTGGGAGTGGTCGTTGGGAATTTATAAATGTCTGACGTCAGGTCAACGTTTCAAGCCTCGTTTTCTTGCTATGCATAGAAGCAAAATTTCTGAACGCAGCCAGCTGAAGTTTATGCAAACGTAACAGCAGGCATTTAATATAGCCTCTTAACGAAAATGTTTTAGTTTCTAAAACATTTTACATGCAGAATTTGTCGCAAATTCTTTGGCTTAGAAAAGTAATTTTACAGACAGAGTACGTTATCCGCAATAAGAATAATATTTTTCCTGCTTTTGAAGGTGAGATAAAACGTGGAGAACTGAGGAGGGAAACTATTCTCTTAAATAAACATGGTCATGCATTTCAATATCTTTTTACAACAGAGCATTATTTCATCAACAGTGCGTGACCTATCTCATGAAATGTTGGCTGAAATTTTGAAATGCGATTTCGATTAGGAAGTATTACTTGGTTGCGGTTGTGATACTGATTATCTTAAGGCATACTCTTATAACATTTTGGACTCGGCAGGATGTCGGCTTTTAAATGCACTTCTTTTCAATCTCCTGTAGAAAGCGTGCTCGGTAAAAGATGACTACTTAAGTAGCATGCATTTTTCTTATAGATTTTCGATGGTCTTGGAAATTCAAATATATTTTATAGGAACCACAAACAAAATAAGCTTTTTTTAGTCAATCAATAGAGAATTACGTCCCCTTTGTATTTTATACTTAAGGAAGGAGTATAATTAGGTTTTTAAAAAGTTTTCTCATTGCCGAAAAATTTGGAGCTTGATCATTCGTTGCATTAGCGCTTAGTAATTACACTCTACAAGGTGCATCCTTTCCGCGTAAAGAAAATGCCATATTTTTCCATGTCATTAAAGAGATATCATACAGGGTCCATAACATTTTGCAATGGATGCGGACCATATTGTACACTTCATGAGGAGCAGTGGTAAACGGCCAGGTACGTTGCTATGTAAATGGACATATCGCGGTCTTAAAAATTCTCATAATTAGAAACTTTTTAAAAACCTAATTATACTCCTTTCTTAAGTATAAAATACAAAGGGGACGTGATTCTCTATTGATTGACTAAAAGAAAGCATATTTTTGTTTATTGTTTCTATATAGTATATTTGAATTTCCAAGACCATTGAAAATCAATGGGAAAAATGCATGCTACTTAAGTAGTCATCTTTTACCGAGCACGCTTTCTACAGGAGATCGAAAAGAAGTGCATTTAAAAGCCGACATCCTGCCAAGTCCAAAATGTTATAAGAGTATGCCTTAAGCTAATCAGTATCACAACCGCGACCAAGTAATACTTCCTAATCGAAAACGCATTTCAGAATTTCAGCCAACATTTCATGAGATGGGTCATGCACTGTACCTTTAATACATCAAGTAAGAAGGAAAAAACTATGCTTTTTCGTATGCGCAATTCCAAAAAGACGAACGTTTTGTGTGACTATGCAGAATCTAGGCAAGGTAGGAAGGATTTCACTACAGTGCTTATATGCAGGCAAACCAGAATTACTAACCAGCTCTTTAGGTTAAAGCAGGATGTCACAGTTAGGTCCAGCAAGTCCCGCTAGCAACGTTGCTTGTTAATTAAATATTAGTGCATCCGACTTTGGGCTTCGTTAGTACTGGCGCCAGTTTCATCATATCGTTGGCAAAATCATTTCACCATGAGTATAAAGTTGTCCTTAGAAATGTAGAGATATGAATCAGGTGTAGAAGTTAGATTGAAACTAAGTCTCTTTAAGTTGTTAGTTTTTTTTAGAGAAGCGATGAAAGTCGTCAACATATGAGATATTACAGTGATGTTGAAAACTAACGCCCATTTTATACGAGCAAACAGAAGACCTACGATGTTAAAAGACTGCATGGGGTAGTTGAATGTCAGATATAGATCAATAGACTGAGTAGACCAGCCAATGGACCATACAGTTGATGTGCTAACTCATGAAATGTCAACCAAATTATACTCTTCTTTTGAGTATGAATTTGGAAGCAGACGTGATTTGCTACCGAATAAGTAAAAGAATGAATATTTTTATGCGTGTTTTCCATGATAAATATAATTGAATTTTCAAGGGCATCGAAAATCAATGAGAAAATTGCACGCTACTTAAGTAGTAATTTTTTGCAGAGTATAGATCTCGCATGCAGCCGAAAATAAGTTCTTTCGAAAGCCGACACCCTGAGGTAACTGGATCATTATAGACTTATGCTGCATCATGTTTGGTTTTACAACACTACTTAATTTAGCTTTTTGAAACGAGAACGTATTTCGAAATTTTGGTTGACATTTCATGAGTTAGCACATCTACTGTACATTATGCCACTGTAATGACTGTGCAACAAATGAGTGCTTAGGATAACGGTTTTGTTTGGAAACCTTAAAATAACGCATAAAACACTTCCACATCTGATTGCTTTTTTAAAAAGGAAGCATAAGGTCTTTGTTGCTCTCTTAGGAGAATGAGACCGTTTTCAAATCTCAGCAAATGTGCAACGTGCGATTTCTTTTTAAGTGTAGTCATGTTTTTATTGCGGTTCTCGATGTGGTTTGCACTTTTACTGCAAAAAAAGAATTAATGCATTTTTGTGACACTGCGGTCAAGTTTGCTTATCTTGTAAAGCCTCTAGCGATGGTCCCAGAAAGACCCTATTTTTTAGTTTTTCCACGATTATGTATTCGTGGCTTTGGCTGCCGGTGTCTAAATAATTCGAGTTTGATGGAATGACATGTTCTGTCATAAAGGTGTTCCATTTGCTCGAAGCAAGTAGAAACTGCCACAGGCACAAATTAACGAGGAAGCTTTTTTACTGTCTGGTCCGGTTTTTAGGGGCAGAACATGCGGAAGTATGGCAACCTTCAAAGCATGGATGATTTAACACTTGTTTTTGCCAGTCAAGTAGAATCTTGTTTGTTGAGAGAAAATTAAAATGATTGTGTCATTGACACCTTCTCGTTTATTTTCGCAGTGCCACAAAATTACCAAAAAATGAAGTTGCTCCATTAACAATGCTCCGAAGCGCAGACTTCTATGTACTTTGGTTGTACCAGTTTGCAATGTGCTTTCTAACATTTTTCGCAGTTTCGTCATACAAGGTGAGATATTGTCTTTATTTACCTCATCTAATTAACCCCGAAGCTTTTGCCCTTACTACAAATCAAATACAACTAGGTAAATGATATCAACTTTCACAAAAAGCATTTTCTTGTCAGCGAATGACAGAACGCATGAAAACGAGAAGGATGACTTTATCTGCCAGTCAGGTAACGTCAACTAACTTATAACGTTTCTTAGCGATAAATGGTACGCTTTTGCTAACGTTGTTGAGGAATAGATCAGTAATAACACCATCAACTATTGAATCGAATGACGTAAACTGCGGCCGTAGTATATGAAAGTTGTGCAAAAAAGTTTTGTCGAAGTGAAAAGACACGTAGACTGGAGAGCTAATTTCCTCTGACATCTACCTGGACGACTGACTGAATGTAATGGTTCCTTTAGATCTCGCAACGTTTCAATAGTCATTTCCTTTTGAACGACACCTTATGATTTGCGATCGCTATTCGAACACATTAAAAAGTTGGTATTAACAGCCGCAAACTAGTGCCTCAAAATACTGTTCGAGTTTGACAATTTGATATCACTTTGACACGGAACATTGGGAAGCACAGAAGCTAGCAAAATTGTCAGGAGCAACACAAATAGGGCATACGTTACTATGTTCCTCGAAATCTGTAAATTTATTAAGAACGTTCTCCGCAGAAATACTAAGCTTCAAGAATACAAAGTGACTGCAAAACCGCCTTTGCAGCTATAAGGATTAAACAAGATAAGATTGAACCATGCTTGATTTTGTAAGTGAATCATTTATGGAAGGCGTTTATAATACAACTTACAAAATCAGCAAGTCCAATTAAACGTTTAGTAATAAATTGTGCTTGGCATAATAAGCACACAGTTACAAGTGCGAAAATGCCCATTTTTGCCTACGTTTACTGGTGCTACAACCAAGGACAGTCTTAGTAGAATCATGAAGAACGTGCTAAATCACAGCATGCCTCAGTCGATTAAAATGCCAAATCTATACCACATTTTCTATGACTCTGGCAGGTAATTCTGCAGGTGCGTCAGGTTACATTTGCCAAAAGTTCTCCCAGCGATGACGCCTTGTGCCAGCCGTCCACCATTCTCTGTCCATCTCTGCTGTGAGATGTAGTCGTCCTCTTCAGTTGCTTCGCGGTACGCAGCCGCACTTGGTTTAGACGTGCTCGTTAAGGCTACATGGGCGTGAAGGGTGGCCATTGTTCCGTATTTTAACTTGCAGACCCACTGTTTATTCATTTTGGTGCCATGTAAAGCTTATCTACAAGGTCAACTCCATTGTCTATTGCAGCCAGTTGAAAAAAAGGTCTGTTCCGTTTTTAAACGACTCTTGCATTTTCCTAGAAGAGCATTGATGTTGTTGGAAAGACTCATTGTATATTGACAACAAATAATAATGTTAGTTCTTTCAAACGCGAATGGGGACACTGAAGAAATAACGCCCGGCATGGGTTATCGAGGGAGAAATCTGCAGATATGTTGGAAACATCGCATGTATATTAGTAAATTATTAATGAATTTTGTACTTGTTTATGATTTTATCAGTTTAAATTAATATTTTGTCCTACATCCAACTATCTCCTTTTTCAGATGTTTGGAATGTTATACATTGAAGACAAATTCATCGTGCATCGTATTTCGGAATCTGCTGTGGCCTTTCTCATAGCTGGATACGCCTTCTGGAGTCTGCTAACTTCTCAACTGTCCTATAAGGTTTGCCCGCTTTTCTATTAGATTACATGTGCTGAAAAAGCTCGACGACGCCGGGGCAAAAACAGTTTTCTAATATGAAGATTTTCTAACAATTTTCATTATTGGTTTTACAAAGATTAACCCTATAAACCCCAGTGCAATGTGCAAATTACAAGAATGAGATTTAATTTAAATACCAATTAATGCTCTCCTTACATTTAAACATTTAGGACCACGGGAGCCTTTGCTACTTAAGAATAACCTAAAATAACTGTTTAGTCTGTAGCTTATAATTAGGGAAGGATGTGTTTGAATTCGATATCATCGTCAACTAATGGCATTTAACTTTCCGCAATCTGGGGAATTCTTCCCGGAATAATAATTAAAGGTCCCTTCCTTACAGCACAAAAAACTTTTTCAATCCAGGCAGGCTCGACAGTGTATGATGAAAGTAGCCGGATGAGCCGGCAATTTGGTTTATCATATGTTTGTACGGAAACGTTACTCGAAACAGTAGGCAAGTGAAGGATTAGCGTACTTATCTTGATCCCGGCGGTTCAAGATCGTTCACGTATTGCCATGCAGTTCGGAATCTATACCAAAAGTATCTCCATAGTTAGTATTGGTCAAAAGATAAGAGAGAAGGGTGGGCGTTGTGTTCAGCTGATTCATTTCCTTACTCGTATAGCAGTATGCCTGAAAAATACATACTTTTATACCGTCAAGAAAATTAGCAAGTATTTCTTTTGCGTTCCAACACGTTTTATGCACGTCAACTTTCGAACGAAAACCATGCTCGTCCGAGGTGGAGAGAGAGGAAAAGGCTTTAATCAGAGAGTTATGCCGAAGCTCCAGGCATAAAGTGGTGTTCATGGCTATGTTAGCTGACTACTAGCTAAAGGCGAGCCTTCTATGTATGCATAAAATAATGTTACTTCCACGATTTTTACGCTCACGCCAGCACAGCAGATAGGCGTAGCCTGGGACAGCCAGTACGGCGTGCCAGCACGAATGAGATCAATCGCAGTGATGCCATCCACTTTTCTGCATTCGCACACGGCTCACGTTTGGCTAACAAATATTCAAAATAACCATGGAATCTGCTGGAACCATCTCGTCCAACAGAAGGAGTTATTTTACGTTCAGAACGTTGGAATCACAAACTTTCCGTCTCCTTAATCCCCTTTTAGCACCCCCCCACTTAGAAGCACGGCGCGTAGCCTTGCCCTTTCTGATACATCTCCTTGGGTTTAAAATATTTTAATATTACTATCTCCTTTTACTGATGGATGAAAGGGATGTTGCCATTCTGAACAGTAGTTGTTGGTTTGATCTACTCGTACTTTCTGCTAATGCGTATTCCACTAGATGTCTGTCGTGATCTTTTTTAAGTTTTCACAGCTTCTGATGCTCATTGTTTGGGGCTCGTCAATCGCTACACTTCCCACACTAATGGCAACTGACAAATCCGAGGTCTTCTACGCAATTGCCATTTTCATTTTACATATTTGTCTGGCAGGACAGGTTGTATTCACTCTAACTGCCACTTTCAAACTCTTCGGAACCAACTTTTTCGCCATCAATCTCGCTTTGATCACATCTGCAGAGGTATCGCCAGTTCAATGGCTTTGTGAAAAAAACTTGAAAATGGCATAAGTTTATGATTTTTATGCACTACACATGTTCATCGGAAAAGAAATAATTTGCTCTTGCTACTTCAAATTAGACATTTTTGAAGTCGGTGCCACGGAGTCACAAGAATGCCTTAGTTTTAAAAATAAGCAAACCGCATTAGAATGCAGAGTATTCACGGGCTAGTTTATTCTTTGTAACAGCCAGTCAAACGCCAAATGGTTTTTTGGACAAAACCCATGATGCCAGTTAAATGAAGATCAAGAGTGTGAGAAATGCTGATTAAAACAGCTGAATCTGCGCGCATTGCTGGATGTTCAGAGTCAAAATAGAAGGAGGAATTTACATTCTTGCATGTATTTTAGTAGATGCGAATGGTAGTTTGAGTAAAAATGTAACTGTATATTTAAACTAGTTTCCTTTAAACAAAATATTGAGACGTGCACCCGGAGCCTTTAAAACTCAGAAAGTGATTATATGAAAGATCATATGACATACATTCATTCCTTCGCATACCCTATTTGACATTTTTTGCCTAGGTTCCTGGCGGCATTATATTTGATATATTGGCAACTGAATTGCAACTGAATAAACACATGTACGGTGGTCTCTATGTTGCTGTCGCAGTTATCGGCTGTGGTGCGTCCGGTTTTCCTTCTTTAAGTTCATATTTTTCGCGAAGAAATATACTTTTATATAAGAAAGCTAATGAGGATGTATTTCCATTGCTTCACACCTTTTAAATCAAAACGACTTTGTACAATCGTTAGATCTTTCAGAAGAGTAACTATAGAGTGAAACGAGGAGGAGGACGTCGAATTATTCCGTAATCTTATATAACGACTCACACAAAAAGATACAAATGAAAATTTGAAACCTGGTTCCAACTACTAATTCTCCTGTAGATATTTTCCAACCAGCAGAGTGCACTTTCTCTTCTTAGTTATGTGGTTAAAATTAGATGTTGAATACTTGTCTGCATAATCAGTATTTTTTTTAAAACACTAATGAAAAGCGCGATATGGTTGACTACCGAAATTTTCCTGATTTGTTGGTTAACTCGGGTTCTAGCACATGTTTTGATGCTTGTTAAGAGCAAAACAGGGCTGTTGACTGCAAGTATGGAGAAGCCTGTCGAATAAAACAATGAAAGTTCTTATAATTCAGAAGAATATTTGAGCAAAAATAGAATAAGGTCACACTTAGCAATCAACCTGGATCACCGCACACAACTGGTTGATGTCTGTAATTGCCCGATCTCCCCCCTGCGGTATATCCTTTGCAAACCTACCGCCACGCTGAACTAATTCAAGCGCAGGCCACCATCCCTGTGCCTACCACGTTGTGGAGCACACGGCCTACATCGAGTCATGTAATGGTCAAAATGTTAATGCGCATTACGTTCCCAGTATTAAACTCGCCACCCCAGGGCTTTCCCAAAACTATCCAAGCATAACCATTACTCATATGTAGATACACACTGAGTCGAGGTTTTTATGCACAACGTAAAAAGTGATAGTACTAATTTCAAACCCTACATTATAAAACTGAGAGCAAAATAATTGCTTTCACTGGCACGCCAAACGAGAGCGGAAATAACTGACCTAGCGTGATTGCGGAGTGGCCACATAGAACTCTTGTGCTACCTTTGGGTACTTCAAATCATAGCCAACGACTTACGATCCGACAGCTTTAGTGACCGGACGTTTAGCTGAAAGCAAGATGGCGAGCTGAACCCGAGTTCTAATCTCATGTCTGGTCGGCTTCTGTCTGGAGTACGGCTGGCAGATTGCAACGAATAAGCCATAAATATCCATTCCAGTGGCCCTTTGTATCATTAGAAATACTGTTCTCACAGCAATAGGATCTTTTCCACATGTTACGTAGCCGGCGAATGCACAGACAGTTTATATATTAATCGGGACTTTCATCGACAGTGCGTCCCTATGGGAAAGTTCTGCGTCCACATTCCGCCACTACGCTTTATCAACATGAATGATTTAAAAGTATATCGAATCACAATTTATTGCTCTACCTATCTTTAGTCAGTGATGACTGAGGATGAACGTACACAGTGATAGGGGTATGACAAAATATGCAACATAAATTTTCTAAAATAGACCAGCTTTTTGATTTTTTGCGAATACGCGCTTTAATATCACCCAGAAGACAGCAGTTAATTGAGAGAGCTTCCGAAAGAAGGAATCGCTTCTGTAAAAATTTTTTTTTTAAAGAAAGCACAAATAATATAATACATCAAAGCCGATGGTGTAAAAAGCTGAAGAGATACGTTTTCTGTCGCTGAGTCATAGAAGTACCAAGGCACTAGAATATTAGTCTGCACAGTATTAATTCGAAATGCGTATCCGACAAACATAACGTGTTTTCAGACTTGTTGATGTAGTCAAGATGCTTACAAGAGCTTTGCTGGCACTACGATAAGTTCAGAGGATGTAGGCGTTCCTGGAAATGTGATCACATGTGAAAGGGTAAAGTTTTGAAAATAACATTAGCAGAAAAAGCGTCTTTTGGTGTGGCGTCTTTCCAAGAGAGCTTAGGGGTCCTTCGATCTCTGTGCAGTTAATTTGTCCCAAAACAAGTTTTTCTTTAATGACCTGGGTGTAAATACGCCAATAAGCGTTTAAAGTGACACACAAGCACCAATGTTCAAGTGGAGGAGTCCACTAAGTGTTGACTAATTCTATGAGTACTTCGCAGAAGTTCGCTGTGAATGCCTCCTTGCTATGTATAGGAAAGCAAGTTCAACCGTGCCACAACTTAAAAGCCAAACAGAAATTTGTCGGACACATGCTATTCATTTTGCCATACTTCGATTAGAGCAAAATAATTTAAACGTGAACGACTTATCCCACTAATATTATCAGTTTTAATTATTT